TTACCAGAATGCGCAAAAGTTCTTCTCTCTGAGTGTTGCAACTTGGTGCACATGGTTGCAGTGCTGCTCAGGTTTGGCCCAGCTGCCCTTCCATCCTGATGATGGGGGGCTGGCCAGGCCAAATCTGAGTGGTATTGTGACCCTGTGTACCCAGGGGGTGACTCCATGCAACACCACTCCCACAGATTTGGCCCAGCCAGCCAGGTTGTGATGCCCTGAGTGGGAAGCCGAGCCCAGCCAGCCCTGTGGGATAGGAGCCAGAAGAGAGTAGTTGGTATCACGTACTCTCGTAAGTACCACCCCTTGATGTATCCCCACCCTACAGCCTGGCGACACCACATCTTCCATACTTCCTGTCCTGCTCCCTCCAGCTCCTCTCCGATTTACCCTTCCCCACAGCTGTGTGATTCCAGCTTTCTCATGCCAGCCACGCATCCCCAGCCCCTTCTGTCCCCAACCCCTTCCCCCAGACCCCCACTTTACCCTCTGCCCCTCATGGGCTGTCTGCCTGGGCTCTTTGTTTTTGGGGACTTCAGATTTCAGCCCCATCCCCCAGACTCCTCTGTCCTTATATCATTCCTCCAGCCTCACACTGAATGCCTACACCCTTCTGCTCCCCGGTTCCTTCCCAGAACTCCCAACTCCTTCCTCACCAAACCACTGGCCTCCCCCATCTCCACACTTCACTTCCTGGCCTCCAAATTGCCCCCACCCCACTCTTACCCAGGGGCTGTGTGTTTGTATGTGTGTGTGTGTTGGGGGGGGGGCTTGGCTTATGATCCCTCCCCCCCCAAGTTGTTCATATGTGGCTGGAGAGTCTGGAATTTTAGCTCTGATACCTCCACTCTCCTGTTGGATGCTTATGGAGGGGGGAAAATATGTGAGTAGAAAACTTTAGTGTTTTATAGTCTTGTAGCTTATCTGAAACAGTTTAACATTTTGAGAATGAAATGTTATGAAGTCCTGAACAGTTGAATCGCCATGTTTGATGTGTATAATTCAAATTTCAGGGAGAAAGTTCACAATAAAAACCTGCACTGGGGCCCATCTTTGTGTTCTTCTGCCACTGAGTGGAATATGTGTTGTCAGGCAGCACATGAAAATCATGATATCTTAGTCTCAGTTCTTGCAGTAGGGTCCTGAATAAAAGGGAGAAAATACAGAGACAAGGATTCTTCCTCTTTCTAGCCTCACTCCCCTGTTGAGGTTTTTTTTTTTTCTAGAGCTTTTTATGCTATTGCTACCTTCCAATGAATACCACTTGCTACGAAGATGGGAAAAGAGTCTGTTTTGTCTGCCATTCTGCTAGTTGGCTGTCCAACTTGCAATCTGGCAAACAACTTTGAAATGCCAAGTTTAGGTATATTGTTGTGAAAGAGTTAAGTCAACAAGTCATGCCCTCTATTTGAAGAAAGTCGGGTGAATACAGGGGGCCTTATGGGACAACATGGTGGCCATTGTAAGTCATTTGCATTATTCATGCTGGATATTTTACAGTTACATAGATGTAGGAATAAAGCCTTCTCTTTGATAATGTGTGTGGGTTAGTCAAAGCAGATGCGAAGAAAGAGAACATCTCTGTAGGCTAGGGTTTATCATTTTCATTCATCTTACTGGTGGGTGGCAGCTAGGGCCATCTTTGAATTGTACTTGGGAGAAAAAAGTATACAATACATCTACTGTTTCCTTTTTAAAGCGCCCATTTCCATAATGAGATCCACTGATGAAAAGTGCTATGTAAGGGCTAGGTGGTATTATTTTTAATATTATTATATTGGGGAACACCAATATAAAATGTAGTAGCACTGTCTGACTGCATGCAACAAACCATTGGGAATCTTTCCGGATTTGGAGCAGTGTCCATTAGTTTAAAAGGCATCTTAAAGTTGGAAGTTAGATACAATGTTTGTGTTGTTTTCATTTATGTGAAATGGGGAGTGGAAGCTGGTAATGGTTGGCTAAAAGAAGGTCCTACTTAGGTGTGTGATCCTCTCTTTGGAGGGATTAACTAGAGAATATTATCAATGTTATTCGCTGAGCTCCAATAAGTATAAGTGAACAAGTTGCTCAGGAGCACTGAGTGCAAGTAGAGCTCGCTAGTGGTGGTCTTGCAGTTTCTTTACTGTCCCACAAAGATCCAGATCCAAAGGTCCGACCTTGACATTCTACTGATGGTGTCTCAAGGTACTATATCACAACAGCCATACTACCTCATCAACGGAATCCCTGTTTGGATTGCAGGCTGTCCGAAAGAACTGATTGTAAGAGATCTTTTATGCACCATTTCTTTTAGGGCGAAATTTCACTCTAGGTCAGAGGTGACCGTGTGTCTAAGGCCTTGGCTACACTTACCCGCTAGTTCGGCGGCTGGCAATCGAAACTCTGGGGTCGACTTTTCCCGGCT